TCGAAGCTCGGTTCCACCAGAAGACGACGGCGGATTCCTCTTGACCAGCTGTCGATTGGTTTTACTGGAAGACTCATGCTGAGGCTGTTCCCAAGGTAATCTCATTCGATTGTTTTCGTTGCCAAGTAATCGTCCGTCATATGAAGAACATCATTAGAGCAAGGTATCATTGTCACAACAAAATTCAAGCTAACAAAACCCTAAAAAGAGGTATCTATACTCTACATCTGGCTTCTTTGATCAGGTATAAATTGATTTGGTTAGTTAATATCATATGTAAACTTGGATGTCTGTGAGTGTGTATGTACCTTTATGTGTATGTGCCTGTTTGGCGTTTTCTGAAGTCATTGAGCCTTCTTGACTATGTTACCTCGCTGTAATGATGTTCGTCACATGACGGACGAAAGCTTTGCACCTTTTCGCCGGAATCGAAACAAATCGCCTCGAAAACAGTAAAGCCAATCGACAACTGGTCAAGAGGAATCCGCCGTCGTCTTGTGGTGGAATCGATCTTCAAATCTCTTCACCAAATACTCTCACTTGAAATGGAAGTAAGCTCAACAATTATGAAACAAGAGATTCTTTGCAACCCTATTTTTCTTTGCATATCCTTTTGATGAGCCTATCTGCCATCTGCCGCAGTGAAGAAGACAGAAATTTAAGCCATGGAAACTTTGTCGTGTAGTGTAGGAAAGGGGGTCAGGCTCGATTCCATCCCGACCCTTCTAGTCAAAGTAAAGACAGTTTTTTGGGGGGACTTTCATTTCATATGAAAGTGCATGAAGAAGACGTGACTAAAGCTCATCCCGTTGTCACCCGAAACGAGGGAGGTCTCATGGACTGGGTCAACCTGAACGTCGTATTTGGTATGATTAAAAGTCGATTTTAAAGAGACTGTCATTAAATTTCGACAAAGTGTTCTAATGAGCCAAGGTCGCATAAAGTGATGAAGGACTGATACCTGAATTTGCCGACTGTGTATGAAAACAGGCTTATTCATATGCAGCGATGTTTGTGACTAGAAGCAATGTGATTTTCAGAACGGTATCCTCCTATGGGCTTAAGCCGTCTGCCCACAAGGCGTTACGGCGCCCAAATCCATACATGGGCCTAGTGGGGCTGGGTGGAGAAGAGGCTGCGGAGAGGTCTGGTGGCTCGAGTCTCGTGTCGTCTGGCGATCAGTCTGGCACGTGTTGCCCCGACCAAAACGGCCAGAGAGGCAGGCCTTGCAGTCGACTGAGCATTCTCTCCTTACAATCCCCATTCTTGCCCGCGATAACCCATGGACGGTGGGTTTTGCCCCCCCCCCCTCCCGGCCCCAGAGATGCCCTCCGGCCAGTCGGGATTCAGCAAGCCTTGTTTGAAAGGGATGCCTCCTGGCTACCGTAACTCGGGCCTAACGACGTAAAGGTCAGATTATCTCGAAGGTATAAAGACCAGGATGGTGTGGCCTTTTGTGTGGTCGCAGTCTCCTTTCGTTGTATAGAAGTTGTTTGACCTTGCTTTCACAACAGCCTTTTGTGTGGTCGCAATCTCCTTTCGTTGTATAGAAGTTGTTTGACCTTGTTTTCGCAACTTGGTCATTTTGGTAGGAAGTTTGTGTGGTCGCAGTCTCCTTTCGTTGTATAGAAGTTGTTTGACCTTGTTTTCGCAACTCGGTCATATTAGTAGGAAGACTTAAAGGAACATTGTGTGGTCGCAGTCTCCTTTCGTTGTATAGAAGTTGTTTGACCTTGTTTTCGCAACTTGGTCATAATGTTAGTGGTCGCAGTCTCCTTTCGTTGTATAGAAGTTGTTTGACCTTGTTTTCGCAACTTGGTCATAATGGTAGTAGGTCGCAGTCTCCTTTCGTTGTATAGAAGTTGTTTGACCTTGTTTTCGCAACTTGGTCATAATGGTAGGACCGCAGTCTCCTTTCGTTGAATAGAAGTTGTTTGACCTTGTTTTCGCAACTCGGTCATATTGGTAGGAAGACTTAAAGAGACAA